CCCCCAGCCGCCCCCCCCCCCCGCCACGCGCGCCGGCAGCGCGTGGGTGTGTAGAGAAATTTCCGGCGACGGAAAATCTTCAAATCACGAGCCACCCTTCCTATCCTAGATACTACTCGACGAATGGAGCATCTTTTTCAACTACGGCCAAGTCCAATTCGGACAGCAAGTCCGGAATTTCAAATTGAAAACCGGCCAAAACCTAATTCAAAAATTAACTTCCAAAACCTCCAAATCGTTCCAATCCTAAGCAACAGTCAGCTAGAACACGTAAAAAGAGGAAGAAAGCCCATCAATTTTACCTGAAACGGACGGTGGTGGCGGCAGCGCAACGATCGGAAACTTCCGGTTCGAACCAGTCGAAACTGACGTCGGGATTCGAGGTTTCCGGCGGGGAAATTGGGTGGGTCGTGATTGGGACTTCACGACGAGTCGAACGGGACCGGTGCCGGCCCTTTCCGTGGCCGGAGTTGAGAGAATTGAAGAGAGAGAAAGTCGGTGTCGGGGAGAAAGAAACGGAAGAGAGAGAGAGAGAGAGAGAGAGAGAGAGAGAAAGTGAGGGGTAAAAGTGAAAAATCTGATTTTACCCCAAATTCTTTTCAAATTAATTACGGTTCCGCCATCGAGCTTATTTTGATCGCCAAAACTTCATTAAATCTCCGATTCAAGCCTACCGCCTGTCTACGGTTTCGTCTTAGTACCACCTACGCAACCAAACCACTCGTAGTCCCAAAATCTTCCCGGATAAGAAAATGACCAAAATTACCCTCAATCCAAGAATAAATTCATAATTTCTCTTAATTTAATTAAAATAGGAAATAATTGGAGTCGGGGTGTTACAAAGGGTCCATCTTTAAGTGGCCTAAACTTCACCCCTGATGCCCTCAGCTTCTTTGCAGCATATATATTTTTGACAGGAGCACTATTTTGTTCACAATCCATTTCTTCGTCAGGACATAGAAAATGCCTAACCAAATCGGTGAAATGTTTCGGTTTTACTCTATTCTTGACGGATTTCCCCTCATTATAATCTTTGAAGAACTCAAAGGTAAGCTCAAGTAGGGGATCATAATCAGCAGGTTTGGCTTCGTCAATCTCTATGGAATGTTCATTGCAAGGTATCCGCCAGGAGCAAGGCAAGCATCACGGGAGGTCATTGGTACGATGAGTCTGTTCTTGTACTTCTTTGCAGGGTTGGAAACTGCGAGAGACAAGCACAGCAAAGTCATGATATAGTTCTTGAAGAAGAGAATAAGGAAGCTGATTTTCAAACAGTATCAAGTCCTGTTCTGCAGCTTTCCTCAGCCATGATGATCTCAATATATAATCATTTTTATGATTTTCAGTTTCGTAGAAGTTTGTTAAAAAGAGCTCGATGATGAAGCAGGCATCAACCACAATTATGTTTGCAGGGTCTATGTCAAGCTCAATGGTCCCTGCATAACAACAATGAATATTTTCTTGACGAGTCTTGATAAATTGCTCTAGTTCATCCTTACTCTTCTTACAACGTGCAAGAAAATTCTCATAATATATCTTTTTATGGGTTTCCATGTCCTTACAGTTTTGGTTTTCCATGGTGGAAAGGGCATATTGATAGTAATTGAGGAGTGTATGCTGCTTCATTTACTTTGCAGAGTTTGCTGGGGACCCTGTAGATACACCACTTGTCTGGCTGGTCCAACACTCATACCTTGCCACGGCATTCTTCTTCATTCACAGTTTTCTTGGCGATTTCTGATGTAGTCTTTGTCCTTCTGAAAATGAAACTACAATCAGTAAGAAAGGAATCGATAGTGTTGAACCTAAACATTTAGCTTTAACAAATGTTCTATTAGCAGAACTCATTTTAAAACTTCTGATTGTATGTTCTATTAACAAATTTACAGCATTTGTTTGATAAACTGAGCTGGTTCCTATTTTGTTTCGTATTCATAACTGTATCAGGGTGATGTTTTTAGTTCTCCAAAATCTCCCTTAAATAACCTCGTGCACTCCTCATGTGGGAGAAGTAAAATTTGGAGAGGAAAATGTTGGATGAACATATTTCAATATGGTGATAATTTGTGATGTCATCAAATTTTTGTTCTTTTCGCACCTTAGAGACCTCAAGCGATAGTTTTGGCTTCCAGTCATGCAGAAAATTTTGGGCCTGATAAGGATAAAAGAAAGAAGTTAGAACATATAGGTAGAGGACATGTATCCTACTAACTATTTTCCTCCAATTTAGATCGTGGTAAGTGCTTTCTTGAACTATCTCACAAGTAAACATGCACACAGGATACATACACCCGGAAAAAAAAAGGCTGCAGCTGTTGCTAATTTCCGAAAACAACATATGGTAAGATGAAAGGCATACTTGCTGAGATTGAGAGACTTAGAGGTGTATAAGGTGGGAGGATGTTGGGCGTCATGTTTAGTATTATGCTTTGGACCATTGTACTCCGCAATCTCTTCATGTTTACTATTCTGCTTTGGACTACTGTACTCCACATTCTCGCCAACCATCGATATCTTTTCATCCCTTTGCTTTCTATCCTTTCTGTTCATTTTTCGAAATTCAAACCATCTATAATTACAACATTCGGTTTATAAAAAGCAATTTAACGGGTAAGTGCTCTTAACTACTTGAGCTATATAGGGCAAGATCTCCAAAAAATACTTTAATATATCCCAAAATCCCAGAGGGATTGTTAACTAGGAACACTCGATGATCTTTAGCAGCAAAAAGGCAAAAAAAAAGGAAAGAAAAAAGAGTAAGTCAATAATTAGATAAGAAATTTATTCAAGGAAGCAATATCTCTCTTTCATCTGTTTTTGCATTTCCTATTTCCAGGCCTAAGAACAGTAGTACCTTTTTAAAATAGTTTTGCTCTCAAATTGAAAAAAGAAAAAGAAAACAGCTAGGAGTATCGAAATTAAAATACTTTTGCAAGCAATGTTGTTCACTGACCAAGGTGTAAGTAGAAACAGAAGTCAAGTTTGCAAATTAACTGAATAAATATGGAGGAAATCAAACCTGCAAGTTTTATCTGTTGAGGTTCTTGAGTCGACTACCACAGTGGTGTAGTAGGGTTTAGGGCTTATATGGGCGATAAATGTTTGTTAGGTTTTTTGATAAATGTTGTTATGTTATATGGGCGATAAATGTTGTTATGTTTTATGGTGGGTATAAATGTTGTTATGTTTTTTGCACTCAAATAATATTCATGGAGTTTCAGGGTTTAGGGCTTTTTCGTCCAAGCCCAATAGTAATTTTTTAGGGGACAAGCAAAGCCCAATTTCCTAGGCAATAACCTCTCCATTGTCTGATGTTTCTTCTGTGCGTGTGTCTCTGCTTAGCTAGGGTTTCGACAATTACCCAAAACAACAGCGAGCGTCCAATTTTCTAGGCAAGAAACTCACTCTCTTTCTCTCTATCTGTGTCGGTGCCTCATTCTCTCTCTCTCTATCTGTGCCTAAGGTTTTCACAGGCCCCAACACATTCTCTCTCTGTTTATTCCAAGGGTTTCAACAAGTACCCAAACCAACATTAGCAACAGAGAGCTTAATTACAATGAGTAACCACGTCAATGGCATGGAGGATCGAAGCGTCCACCGCATGGTTATCGACAAGTCTACCCCTGCGTCTGACAAAGATAGCCCAGTTGATTACAGCATTCTCCGCATGCCCTTTCTTAGACGCATCAGTATCTTTCTTTCTTTCTTCTTATTTTTCCTTTTTGTTTGCCTTCTCATGAATTTACTGAAAAGAAATTTTCCTCTTCTTATTTCGTTTGAGTTATATATGATAATGTGAAATTTCCTTTTCCTCTTCATTCCAGTAATGATTATTACTATGATAATTATGAAATAGAATGAATAAGCTTTCTTACTTATGAGTCTTTGCATTGTTTTTCACAGCAACAGATTTGCAAGAAGCTTGGCCGGTGTTGCAATCTGCTTTAGAAGAGTATGACATTTCATGTGCATTGGATATGGTATGTTATAATAAATGTTGGTTTTACATTTCATGTGCATAGGCCGGTGTTGCAATCTGCTTTGTTTTGTATTTTTTTTTTTTTTTTTTTTTTTTTTTTTTTTCAAACTATGTAAGATTTTGTGTTCATATATATATATATATTTTTAAATCATGGTTAGGATCGGTATTTCATCACATTCACGACAACCAGGACTAAGGACCCATATGCTATTCTCAAGTCTAGATATCTTCTTCGACTTTTGTCCGCAGCTGTTCCTGCACTTCAGGTACCAATGTCAAATCTTTTGTTATTCTTTGTTATCTGTAACCTCTCAGTTATTATTCAAGTTCAATTGATTTCAATGTCAAGCATGCCAATCATATTTGCTGGCCGGTTTTCAATCAAAATTTTATGTCCAATTTACCTATCCTTTTCATCTATGTATTAAACTTTTGATTTAAGTGCGCAACATTTTGATCCAGGCAGTAAAAGTATTGAATGGAATTCCATGTCACCTCATCTACACTGGGTATCATATAGGTGGGCTTTGCAAAAAATTTGGGATCAAGATGGTAGGTATTTCTTAAGTAATTTCCTTCCATTTTTGTTTCGTGTAATTATTTTTGTTCTTTTAAGCATTCTTCTTTAGTTATGATGCAGGAACTTTAAATTTAAGGAGTACTATAGCATGGCATTTAGAGTTGTTTGACTTTAGAAAGGTTTAGAAATGATTAGGGTGTAGTGACACAACAACTAATGTGACAATAATATGAGGAATATGGGCCTTCCAGTGTTATGCTCTCTATCCCATGAAGAGTCTGACAAAGAGCTCTCTTCCGCTGGACAAAAGCAAAAGCTCAATTATATGTGTGTGTTTTTTTTTTTTTTTTTAA